GGGGGACGAAGACGAAGCCCGGAGGAAGGGTCGCCGAAAGAAACCAGAGAAGTCGGCCTGATCAGTCGGGGTCGGCCGGGCCCGGCCTGGCAGGGGGTCCATTAGAACAATGCGAGGCTCGGCGGGGGGCGGCCGGCCAGAGGCGTCCGTGGGTGCAGCGTCCTCTCAGATAATTAGGCTGAGCAGATTGGCTGGTATGGCTGGTGCAGCCAACGTAACAATAGTTAAAAATCATGCAAATCGCGCAACATAAAAGTTGGTTTTATAATGTTTCTGCACTACGGTGACGCACACGCGCCACAGACCGACCGAGTCCACAGCGATAAACAGGACAAAAGAGCAGCAATTGGACGGTGTATGGGGAGAGCAGTGGCGCTGCAGGCGTGGCGGTGCCATGCTGCCATGGGGCTGAGCAGCCGAGCCACTCAGCACGGCGCCATCACGCCTCATGACATCGTCGCCATCATGGCCGGCAACGTGACACTGTGAAAACGCCCACCGCGGCCCGCCAGGGCCCGCCAGGCCCCGCCAGGGCCGTACTACTTAAACCCTCCTCTAATGCCGTTCCGTCCGCGCGGCGCCCCTTTCACACAGCGGGCCCGGGGGAAGGGGGAAAGGGGGGGGGGGGGTCGTAAAAAGGAGCGCAGCCCCGCGAGTGGGAGTCACAAAGCTGAACGTTTCACAGCCCCGCCGTGATACGGTCGGGTCCACGAGCCGGCGCTCATTAGGGGGGACATCTCCCACGGCGACACGCTGCAGGACGACAGCCGGCACATGTCATTACCGCCCGTCTTACTCGCAAAGCAGGCTATGCCGCGAAGATTCATCCGCAGGATTTGTGAAAAATAAAATGCATTTTAAAAACGGCGCGAGTGATCCTCTCTCCCCGGCTGTGGGTCTCGAACAGGAAGACGCGTGAGATGAGATATGATCATCGCCGAGAGGATACGGACTTATGGGGCCACACGGGGGAAACATAAGCAGCATCTTCCAGGCCGCCAGGTCTGTGTCAACACCTGAGCCCCGCGAGGTATGCGACTCAAAACAGCTTGCCACAACAAAACGCTACGCACTGCTACGCTCTGCTACGCACCCACACGGACGCTCTCCCTCCCGGTGATGGACCATTAATCCCACAGGCACGTCATTTGACACACATAGAAAGACGTCGTGTGTGATTGTGCGCGCGTGCTCGCTCGCTCGCTCGCTCTCTCTCTCTCTCTCTCTCTCTATCTCTCTCTCTGTGTGTGTGTGTGTGTGTGTGTTTGCGTGCGTGTAGGTGTGTAGGTGTGTCCGTCCATTTGCGATGGTGTGAGTGTGTGACGGGATCAATAGGATCAATTAGTCTCACCTCTGTGGTGTGTGTGTGTGCGCGCGCGCGCCCCTTTCCCCCTCCTTACACACACTTTCTAATTCACTCCACGATATGTGTGTGTGTGTGTGTGTGAGAGAGAGAGAGAGAGAGAGAGAGAGGGGGGGGGATTGGAAGAGAGATGAGTCGCCAGCAGTGTCCAAGGTGTCGTGTATTAGTATAATTACCTGCCCAGCTTTGACATATTACGGGATCCTCCTCCTCCGCTGGACAAATTGAATACGCCGCCCCCTCCCACACCTCACGCGGCTGCGTGCGTGTAGAGGTAGCTTCCCCGCCCCTCGACCACCCTTCTCAACGCAGTCTAGTAACAAAAGGAAAAATTCCCGAAAGTTAAAATAATTTTGAGATTTGCTTAAATTGGGTCCGTTTACGCATCCATGCAGAGCATATCACTTTAACGACTGGGCGGGCAGCAGTACCGTGCTGGGCCAAACGAGGTGGAACGATTACAGCGAATGAGAGTGATAGAGAGGATCCAGTTACCGCCCGCCCGCCTGCAGGCGCGAGCGCGCGCGCGCATGTGTGTGTGCGAGCGCGTGTGGTTGGTGCCACTGTCATTTGGTTCGATGTGAAGCTAATTACAAGGCTGGGTGTCTCAAAGGGTGCGCGCGTGTGCTAGCCGGTGTGTATCCCACCCGCACACAGACTGTGCGCGAGGAAGTGCCCGGCTGCATGTTCAATGCGAAACACACACCCGGGGAAATACTTTTGTCGGAATACTTTGCCGAAAGAATATTTCTCCACACAATAATTTTTTTTTCTACTTTATTAAATTTCGTAAATTTCCTTTTCCGAACGGTTGACGTGAACGCGTCGCCTAGCGCCCAGCTAGCGCCCCGCACCCTTCTCAACTAGGTCTCACAAAGCGCACAAAGTCTGTCATTACCTCGCGGACGCCTCGTTGGCGATAACATCAAGCCCCCCCTGTCCTCCCGCTATCGCATTACGCCCACCCCGCACCTGTGCCGATCGATATAAGAGTAAAACTTGGTCCTATAAACTGTTAATAAGGGTGAAAAACGGGCAG